GTGAAGTGGTCAATCATCACTAGAATGTATCTGTTTCCTGTTCGACTCACTGGTAAGGGCCCAAAGACGTCCAGTCCCCAACACTGAAGTGGCTCACCAACCTTCATCGATCGCATCGGCGGTCTCGGGGCTCCATATCCCGACTCGTTTGGCAGTTTGGGCACTCCCGAAGGTATGCCGCGACGTCCTTCCTCATGGTTGGCCAAAACACTCGCCTCCGCAGCAATTCAAAGACCCGCTCGAATCCCATATGGGCGCCATCATGAGTTATGCGCATCACACGTTCTCGCTGATTTGGTGGAACATAAGGCACTTTCCGTCCGTCTATCGTCACCACCAGGTTATCGTTTTCGACCTTCAACCTGTCCCAGATCTTGAGGAGTTCCTCCACCTCCTCCGATGTAGCCTCCGGTTTGGTGCCAGCCCGTAAGTGAGAGCACAACACATTCACGAATTCATCTGTCCTTTGATCTCCCAGCAGGTTCCTCTCCCCCATCGCGAACGCACGCACCGGTATGGCATTGTCGGGCATGATGTCGTCCAAACACGGGCGTGACAACATATCTGGCAATACATTCTGCGTCCCATCCACGTGCTCAATGATGAAGTTGAATTCCTGCAATCGGTAGGCTCATCGCGCAATCCGTCCCCGCGGGTCTTTCGCCGTCATCAACCACGAGAGCGGTTTGTGGTCAGTGACGACCCGGAATTCATTCGCCAGTAAGTAATTTCTCCACTTCTCTAACGCCCACACGATGGCCAAGCATTCTTTCTCCGTTGTTGAATACTTCTGTTCCGCCCCCATCAGCACTCTGCTCGCGTACTCCACCACCCCAGCCGGTTGAGACAAAACCGCACCGATTGTCACGTTGCTTGCGTCGACAGCCACAGTGAACCTCTCACCAGGATTGGGTAGCCGTAGACATGTCGGGGCTTCTGCTATGCATGCCTTTAGATGGTCAAAGGCTTGATCCGCTTCAGCTGTCCACACGAACGGCACGTCCTTGCGAAGCAGCTTTAACAACGGGTTGACCTTCTCTGCGAACTGGGGCACAAACTTTGAATCATATGCCACCACTCCCAAGAACGAACGGAGCTGACGCTTGGATTTTGGTTTTGCGAAGCACTTGATCGTCTCGCGTTTCTCCGGAAGTGGATGGACTTGACCATTGCCCACGATGTGACCCAAGCATACAATTGACTTTTGGCCAATCTGCGACTTCTTACGACTGAGTTTCAGACCAGCTTCGTCCAGTCTCTGCAGTACTGCTCCAAGTCTGGTCACATGTTCTTGTTCCGTCTCAGAGAAGATGATGATGTCATCACCATAAATAACCACGCCTTGCAGGTTCGCGAGTACCATCAGCAACAAACGCCTGAATGTAGCTGGGGCGTTGCACAATCCAACCGGCATTCTCAAAAACGCATACTGCTGGCCATTGAAACTGAACGCCGTCTTGTGGCGATCTTCTTCTGCGATCGGCAGTTGCCAATATCCCGAGCGGAGATCAATCAGAGATATCTGCTTCGCACTGTGAAGGCTTGAGAGAATTTCTTCCATCTGAGGCATCGGGAATGCATCCTTCACAGTCACCCTGTTTAGTTCTCTGAAATCGATGCAAAATCGATAGGTTCCGTCGGCCTTCTTTGTCAATAGCACGGGTGATGAATACGGGCTGTGCGTTCGTCTGATGATTCTTTTCGCTTCCATCTCGGTCACCTGCTTCTGTACCTCAACCAACGTGTTCTGTGGAATTCGTCTGAAGATTGGCTTGCATTGTCCTCCTGGGATCAACGGTATTCGGTGTTCAACCCAATTGCAAAATCCGTAATCATCTTCCGCGTCTGTGAATAAGTGGGCATACCTGCTCAGTACGTTGCGTATTGCACGGTTCTGACAATCAGACACGGCTTTGAGGGCACCAACCCGGTCGGTTCTCCCCTTGTTTATCTCGATCGTCTCGTTAGCCACGATCACCACATCGTTTTTCAGGTCAATTGTGACACCGAGCCGTTTCAGGATGTCGGTTCCGATGATGGTTTCGGTCGTCTCCTTCACGATGAACGTGTCATGGCGGATGAGCGTTTCTCCTATCCTGATTCGTAACCGCTGCGTGCCCGTCACTTTCAAAGAATGCCCACCGACCGTCTGCATCGTGATTGAAGATGGGTTTACTGGAACCCCATTGAACCTCTTCGTAATTGACACTGCCGCTCCTGTGTCTACTATGGCTCGGACAGACACACCTTCTATAGTCATCTGGAGGACTGGTACTCGCCACCGACTCGGCATGGATAGAGAGAAACAATGGGGCACATTGACGTTAGTGCAGAATCTCGCCACATGAGCATTCTGGTTGCATCGGAAACAGCGGCGACCGTTCCGGATTACCCGTACATTGCGTTGTGAAGTGGTGTTTGAAGACTCTATCGACAACAGCTGCTCCACCATTTCGGATAGGCGATTTACTTTCTGTTCCAACTCAGCAAGCTGGATGCTTCTCACTGTCACTCTTTCCGACAAGTTCTGGGCGACCGTCACCAGATTCAACGCTTTGCTGTCTCCCACCATCGACGCCAATTTCACTTGATCATGGAGTGGACCGGGCAGACTTCGGATAAACTGCTGTTTCAGTAGGCGCTCTCTTGCGTTACCCTCTAACTCGAGGAGCCCAATCGTTAGATGTCTGTCCAGCTGCTGGAAAAACACCATCAAATCCTCCTGTTCGTCCCATCTGACTGCGTGAAATCGTTGCAGTGCTCGTTCTCTCTCCAGATCTTTCCCAAATTCTGCACACAAGGCAGCCCTCATCTCAGCGAACGAACAACCGGGTTCGGCCTTTCGAGTGAGCAGATACACCGCCTTGGCTCGTCCACTCAACCGTGTGCCCAAAGCAATTAGCAAATTTGCATCCCCCTCACACCCGTGCAACCCGCAATTCCATCGAACTCATCGAGCCACGCCTCCACGTCACCGGCCGCAAATTGCTCCAACCGGGTCAACTCCATCGCGATCGGTCACGGCACCAGTGTAGCGAGAACGACAAGACAGGGGGGTAGACGTTTATTGCACGGAAATGGGCACACCCGGGTCTCACGCGCGCCATCGAATATCGACTAGATTTCCGTCCCACCACGCAACACAGGTACGGATGTTAGAGGCGAGCCAGTCCTTTCGCCTCGGGAGCTCTGACTTGGAAGTCCCGCCTTCCTGTTTTCGCCTCGATCTCCGCTTCTCTGTACCCGGTTTGGATCGGCCGGGAGTCGTTCGAGAGCTCTCGACTTGCTTGTTCTGGGCTGTGTCAATCGGCTCGGCCTCGGTCCTGTGGGCTGCGCTAGCGGCGTATTTGTCTGATTTATTGCGCTGTCCACATATTCCCGCTCCGTAGTTCCGGGCCCAGGCTCGTCGCTAGCCGTCTTTCGCGATTCGCTCTCAGCTCGCTCCGAAGAGCTCCCCAGAGCCATTCTTGGAAGCGGCCCCTCTACAGTATCCCAAGATTCAGCGGCACTCACACCTGCCAAACTGAGGTTTAATATCAGTATATATTACTTCCAGTAACCCATACGGAAGAAAGATCGACATAAGACTCAGGCAACGTGAACATCGGGACGGGAGCATGTGCAAACACATGTCTGCTGTCGTTCACTATCAACACTGCACCTGACCACTATTTTCGTCCTCAAGTAGACGTTTCAGGTAAAATTTTCGAAGCTGTTGGCACCTTTATCATTGAGCTCTGTGGGTTACGGATGTGAAAATGTTGGGTGACTGTTGTATGGCCGCCAAATGATCGCATCCGGCGACGGCTACAGGAACAGGAAAGACCAGCCAAGACAATGGTATACATGAGCATACTGCTTCACTTATGTGGGATACAATGGTGGCAGAAGCAAAGCTACTAACGCACATCGGAGCCAACCAACAACATTAGAGATATTGAGTGACGCGAGTGAAAGAGGAGCGAGAACACTAAGAAGCATTCATCTGTGTCCGAAACAACGATATTAGCGGTAATGGGACCCTAGCATCCATTACGAACGACGGATGATAACCAATAAACTTAAAAATTTGGAGCGTTTGATCAAATGTCCGGAAACGAACGGTCGCGAAATGAAAGCCGATAGATAGCTATTGTCAAAAAAATGAATGTGCAATAACCATTCTGCTGACAGATTTATTGTTGGTTCCTATTATGGAGTACCGGTCCTGAGCTTAATCTGTACCACCAAGCGAATGACGGTCAACTTAGTCATGGAGATGGTGTCTAAAAGCAACAAGTTACGTGTTTCCCGCATGCAACATTGCGTCCAAAGGCAAGATTCGTCTTTATTTTGGCTCCTCAAGAAGATGCCGTCAGAGTGAGACTCGAATTCGAGACATCGTGATCAGTAAGAAACGCTTTTACCATTCAAAAGTAAGAAACGCGGATAATGTTGTGTTATGGGGTGCCTGCTGGACATACATTTTGTGACAATTCCAGCTTACGTGCTCTCATCCTTCTGTCGTCTAATTCTTGACACTTGTCATTCCTTTGTCTTGATTGGCCAGCATATGCCGTCCGTAATGGATTTTATCTCAAGACTATATGTCCGTTACTACCGCCTTCGCAGACACACGTGAATTGTTCTTACTTTTATCGCTTCTCATTCACCTGGGTTATTCAGCATCTCCTATGTTGCTGGTTGCTTCCGGTGTGTTAAGGCAGTATCGCATTTGGAACTATTTGTACCCTACAGAAGCGAAGCGCTATTCTCATGTATACTATTCTGTTCTGGCTCGTTTTTCCTTTCCATAGTGCAGTCGTGGAGTACGAGCACTCGGTGGTGATGCTATGTCGTATGAGGATTGGAAAGACGAGCACCTACATACTTTTGTACATCCATCGCTTGCTTTCGCTGAGCAAAATGTTCGTTTATATACGTCATCAATTAAAATGACTAACGGCATTCGAGCGAAGGAGTAGTGAAAGTTAGTGGTGGCGTGATCCACAAAGTCTCACCTTACACCGCTCGCAGCGATCGCCCAGAACATTCTCGCCACATTTACATCGTCCCGTTTCAGCGTCGCAAATAAGGTCCACAGCACGATCCGAACAGTCGCATTCTGTGGGTACAAGAGAAAGAGAATTGTAGGAGTTTAGACGACATACAAACTGATGGTGTAACAGACTGGAGTGGTCATGGTGCTTACTTTGACATCCATTGGGTCCGAGATTGTAGTAGCCCGGGCTGCACGTGGAGCAATCCAGCGTGCCACCCACTCCAGGCTTGCATGCACACTGCCCTGTGATTGGGTCACATGGGAGTGGGGTGTGCGGAAGTGTTCCAATCGGATCGCACTTGCATGGAGGACATCCATCATCCACATTTCCACGACCCAGTGAACAGCGCTCACATCGCACACCTTCGTAGCCAGCGCGACAACTGCACTGACCGTCCCCAGGTCGGCAAGCCACGGTTAGACTTCCTTTCTCGTGGCAGTTACAGGCTAGCGCGAAGAAAGGATACATGGTGTTTGATAAGAAAATTTGGGAACTTACATGTATTTTTGCGTGCTGAGTACGTTCCATCAACTCACCGCGACAGACTTGCCCCATCATGGGATCACCGTGAGTGCCTTCCGCACATTCTTCACATCGTGGCCCGGCAGTGTTAAAACCACATATACACGCACCTGTGGTTCCGTTGCAGCCGACCGCTCCGGGGCCACAATCACATTGCTCACATTCGATGCCTTTCTCAGGTTCACCATAATAACCCGGAGCGCATAGTTCACAAAATCGACCCCGAGTGCTGTGAATGCAAGCAAATGGGGAATGAACGGAGTTTGTGGGGGGCAATCGCCGTTCAAAGGGCGTTCGCTTGGGTTAAAAACTGGCAAGCGTTCCATTTGACTCGGAGCAGTGTGGGTAAATACGTTTATGGCGATCACTGCAACTCGGGTTTTATTTTTAATTCGTCTGCCTCTGCTTACAGAGCTCAGACAAGGACACAACGGATCGTTGGGTTCCGTAACTAGAGCGGGCAACATCTGACATTTCTGTAGTTAAGATTCAAGGTTCCAGTGACCACGCTGACCGAGATTTACCTCAACGGTAATCCTGGTCCAGATCAGGATTGTGTGTCGCAATCTACTCATACGAATGCAGCTATAAACCCAGCAGTGTTAGCCTGGCTCACTGTGGTGCATCCATGTGTAGCATCTCCATCCGGGGTATCCGTGTCCAACGACGTGGAGATATGAACCGCACCACCTCACAAAGGTGAACTGGTAATTTCATGTTCCGCGGTAGATGGCCCGAGTGCGTTATAACGTAGAGTCCGGGAAAGACGAAATGGTATAGGTAGGAATTCGTCACAACTAGACTCAGTCAGACAGCCCTCATAGGCCCAATAGAGTACTGTACGGACGTCTCATCCCTTTGGGAATCGTCAGTAGTGCGCATTTCATGTGACCCTTGTAGAGCTAGAACCCGCAAGTTGACTACTGAAAGTTTGTGGTTGGGACCATTGAGCTACGGGAGACGGAAACGACCGTGGTGACTATGTAAACAGCTGTGATATAACGACACTCACTGTCCGCTGACCGTCTATTATTTCTTCCCATCACTAATGGTTGTTAGGTTGAGTAAGGGGAGAAGATCACTTGTAGCAATTCTAAACTGGTTACCGGAGTAGCTAAAAGTGGTGGAAATCTCAACACTACACGAGAGTGGTTGTTGCTATAACTACGCGAGTTTGCTATACAACGGAAGTCTGCATTGCACACTCAGGCGAAAGTAAGGATGGGGATTCACTTGGTACTTAGGCAATGAGTGAAAGAGATGCTCATATGCCAGTATTATTAAATGACTTGTGTGCAAAGGTGCCAATTATTTCTTGGCAAACGGCGATAATGCCTATAAGAACAAATACATTGAACCGAATCTACTACAAACCATAGCCCAGTTACATCCACCATGGAGAGATCTACAGGCGAATTCATGAAAATTTGTAGAGATAACGACGCAACAATGAAGCACAATCTTTATGGGCGCGATCACCAGCTATGTCACCACTCACACAGGCGTACATTAATGACTCATGTTTCCTTCCCCCGTTGCACCACCTCTTCCAGCTTCCGCTCGCGACACGTCCATGCACTCTTTGCGGTACGCCCCCGTAGCTCCGCTTGCACGCGTCCCATTCTGACCGATCCGCAGTCGTTCGATAGCTCGTGCTTTATAGAAGCAAATGTTGGTAGCTCAGGTTGTTTAGTTGATTGGCTGATTGTTCGCTGAGCTCGGCAGGTTGACTGCAAACGTTTCGTCACCACTCGAGGTGACATCGTCACCTCACCGACGCCTCGTACGCGCCACACTGCTAAATACACTCGCACTGACGATGTCACCTCGAGTGGTGACGAAACGTTTGCAGTCAACCTGCCGAGCTCAGCGAACAATCAGCCAATCAGCTCGTGCTTTGTTTGAACGTGGATGTATTGCTCCGCTTGTGATGGTTCTGGGAGGATGCAATAACGGCGGTTTTGTCCGATTTATTACGTTCTCGACAAATACTCTCCCTGTTTGCCGGGCTCAGGCTCACTACCGGGTGCCGCTTGTGCCCCGTTTTCGTCTTGTTCCGTCAGGTCAGTGTTTCTACGTCTGCACCCCCTCATTGCGCCCGTTTCCCTTTCCGTTCGCTCCCGTTTTAATGGTCTTTCTCTCCTCCGGTCAAGTTATGTCTTCCGCCTCCCTACACCCGCCCCTCCTCGAAGTTGCTGTTATCTCGCTTGCCACGGCCGCCGTAGGGTGGCATTCATCCAGCGTTGCGGCCCCCGTTGTCAACTTTGATGTTCTCTCCTTTCCGATCGAGTAGAGCGTAGGGGCCTTTCCAGCGTTTCTTGAACTTCCGTGCCCTCCAAGTTCCGCGCGATCGTGATTTCGTATCTTGACTTGTTCTCCTACGTTGTATTACTTCTACTTGTAGGTCGCGTACCTGACATTGTAGTTGCGTTTATTCCTTGCTCGTCGAGAGCTGGTTGCTCTTCTGGCGGTTGCTTCCAAACGTTCGCGATGCGCTGCTGGGATGTCCCATTTTTGGGCAAGATTTATGAGTGTATCAAGGGGAATTCTTGATTGTCTGCCAAATGGTAACTCGAATGACGCAACTTTGCTGGTCAACCGATGGCTCGCTCTATACGCGAGAAGTACCCCAGGCAATGCTTCCCCCCACGGCGACTTTGTACAATTTCTCCAAGTCTTCATTGTTCGATTAAACTGCTCAGTCAGCCCGTTAGTCTGCGGATGGTACGATGATGTGCGTCGTCTGGATGTTCCACTTTTCCAATACTCTCTGAAACGCGGACTCAAACAGGGCCCTTGGTCGGTAAGAACACTGTGGTATTCTGTACCTTGCGGGTACATTGAATTCGAATGCCTGTGCCATTGTTTCACTTGTTTGATCCTGGATTGGCATCGCTTCTACCCACTGAGTAAAATGGTCAATCATTACTAGGATGTACCTGCTTCCTGACCGACTGACCGGCAAGGGCCCAAAAACGTCCAATCCCCAAAACTGGAATGATTGGTTGACTTCGATGGATCGCATCGGAGGTCTTGGTGCATCCATGTCGCGGTTCGTTTGACAAGGTGGGCATCCGCGGATGTAAGCCGCGACGTCCTTTCTCATGGTTGATCAAAACACCCAAATCCTGCAGCAGGTCGAAGACTCTCTCGAATCCCATATGGGCGCCATCATGCGTCACTCGCTCCCGTAAATTCTGGGGGATAAAAGTCACTTTCATTCCGTTTGTTATCACCAACAAGGTACCATTTGTGACATCAAGCTTGTCACAAATACTCAGGAGTTCCTCAATCTCTCCTGATTTCGCCTCTGACTTGGTCCCGGCTTGCAAATGAGCGCACAGTAACCTCACCAATTCATCTGCACGTTAGCTGTCCAGTAGGTCTCGATCCTCAGCGGTGACGCCACACACCGGTATGGCAGTAACTGGCAGAAGATCGTCCAGAGATGGGCTCGATACCATGTTGGGTGTAAAGTCCAAAAGGAACTTTGATTTATCCCCAAACTGGATTGCTTACATGAGGACACGGTATCTCTTTCCCCTGATTATCTTGTACATTTACACTGCTTTTCTGTGTTTTACAAGCGGTTAACATATCGCATATTTATTTCTTACACTCCATCACTGACACATCCTTGAGGTTTCAAGGTCATTCTTATTATTATGTTACTGTGACACCGCCCAAATACTCGATCCGCCCCACGCTGGACAGTTTCTGCCCACTTGCATTACGATTGCGAAACCTATTCCTAAGTCATGTACTGTATTTATTATGCCTTATAGAACCACGGTTACAGGATAATTCGTTTTATTCTTCTGCCCAGACCGTGCGTTAAGTCTAGGTTTATTTGTTCGTAGTTTCTAGTTTAGTTTTCCTACGACGTACTTAGTTTAGGCTTAGTGACGTTGGTACATTGGGTATTACGTTATTCGTTCCCTTTATGTGCTCAACTGTAAAGGTGAATTCTTGGAGCCGGTACGCCCACCTTGCAAGTCGTCCCCGCGGATCTCGCGTCATCATTAATCATGATAGCAGCTTGTGGTCGGTAACGACATGAAATTCAGTCGCTAGAAGGTATGTTTTCCATTTCTAAAAGGCCCACACAATGGCAAGGCATTCTTTCTCCGTTGTGGAGTACTATTGCTCTGTGCTGGTCAGCACTCTGTTGGCATATTCGCTCACACTTGCTGTTTGTGAGAGCACAGCTCCGATTGCAAGGTTGTTTGCAGCAACCGCCACTGTGACTATTTCCCCAGGCTTGAGTAGCCGTAAACATGCTGGCGCCTCTGCAACGCATTCCTTTAGGTCGTTAAAGGCCCGATCCGCTTCAGATATCCAAGCGAACGATTCATTTTTATGTGGTAGCTTTATAAAGGACTGATCTTCGCAAAATGAGGCACGAATTTCGAATCATACGCTACCATTCCGAGGAACGACCGGAGCTGACGTTTAGATTTCGGGACTCCTAAATTCTTGATTGCTTCGCGTTTCTCGGGAAGCGTTTTGAACTTGACCATTCCCCAAAGTGTGGCCCAAACACACAATAGACTTTTGAGCAATCTGTGTGTTAGACGGGCTTGCGCTTCACAGTCGCTCACAGCTAAGTAGTTTGACATTCGTAACCGTCTCGTCACGTGATTGGGTTGGACCCCAGCACGACAGTCGTTCAGAGTTAGACCGCTTACCATTCTTGACTATGTCCTTTCTTGTGTTTGGCCTATTGATCTACTGAGCTTTTGCGTTCCGGTTGCCCAGCTTTGCCAGTTTTTGAATACATCCGGTCCTACACGGTGGTGTTCTTGATTCCTGTTCGGAGTGGGTTCAGTTACAGTCAGACGTTATAATACTGTGACTTTTTGCAACTAACCTTTAGACCGGCTTTCTCCAGTCGTTGTAGGACGGCTGCGAGTCGGACACCATGTTCATGTTCCGTCTCTGAAAAAAAGTATGGTGTCATCTCCATAGACAACCACATCTTGGAGGTTCTCCAGGACCATTAGCAGTAAGTGTCTGAATGTCGCAGGGGCTTTGCACAATCCAAACGGTATTCGCAAGAATTCGTACTGTTGGCCGTTCACACTGAAACCTGTTTTTCGCCGGTCTTCTTTTGCGATGGGGAGTTGTCAGTAACCCGAACGGAGATCTATCAATGAAAGCAGCCTGGCATTATAAAGATTGGAAACAATTTCTTTCATTTGGGGCATCAGAAATGCGTCTTTTACCGTC